AGTTAGTACTTATGGGTCCTTTATGGTGCTGATTGTTGGGCGGTTTATTCATTGAGTCCTTACTGTATGTAGTTCTCTGTAAGACCTGCCAAATCCTGTCACTCTCTAACAGGAACAGGGACATTTTAAGACACTCTTGCTGCCTTGGTGCTGGGCCACTAGACTGAAATGCAAGTCCTCATTTTACCCTGGCAATTTAATCTTTTGCTTATTTTATTTTCCTAAAGCTTAAGATCACCTGCCTTCCGGCAAATATTCCTTAAAGATTTTGCTTATGCTCTTTAGTTAATCCACTTTTCAGCTACAGATTATTTGATTTTTCCCTAGTCTACAGCACAGAGTTATTACTGGTGATTCTGGTCTTTGCCCTTTCTCAAGAACTTGGCACACTGTTTCCTCCCATACAATGTGGGCTTATGGTGGAAACATCCTGTGTCCTGACATAATAAGAGAGATATACTGAGTGCTTTTGAAAAGCAACAAGCCATAGCTGACCCAATGAAAAGACTTGTGAACTGAAACAGTCTAAGCAACAGAAACCATGACCTTGGATGTGTGCCCTCCCCAACCCCCCATAGGTTTGATGCAGACTCCCTCTGTTTTCTATTCCTTGTTGTAACTTACTGCTGAGGTTGGGAGCCTTTGGTGCCTTGAGTTGAACTGGCATGGGGTGTAACATGTCAAGGCTGCTGTGGGCCACTGGAAGAGGGAGTACCCCTGTCTGGGATGTCTGGTGTGCCCCTGCCCAAGGAAGCTCACTATCACTTAAGGTTCCTTAGGAAAAATGAGCATCATGATGAACAGTTATTTTACCCGTATGGTGCCTATCTCATCGCATAATGCACTCAACTGATGGCTTTAACAGACTCCTGAAGAAAGGAAGTGGCAGATAGTGTTAAAATATTACTGGTTAATCATGGGGAGACTGAAGCATGGCTAGGTTTATGGGGCCTGAACAGTTATACAATGCCTTAGTGTCTGGCCTGGGAATGAAGCCCGAGTTGGCTGCTTGCTGTCAGGACTGCCGCCGGCATTGTGTTTAGCTTTGTACAACAGTGAAAGGGGCTTACTCTCAACAATGCTAGAGCCGCTTTAGGAGACAAACACAATGAACTTTGGTACAGTATAGTTAGTCTAAAGGCCAAAATGAGTAATTTTAAGTAAATTGACTATGAGATCCAAAGCTTCATTAAGTTTTAGAACAAAAAGCAAGTGAAAACTATGTACAGTTTTTAGGAACAGATTCAAAAACATAAACATTCTTCTTCCACTTGAAATAGTATATTCTTAAAAGTCTTGTTTGGTTGGCTCAAAATCTGACAATATTCCTATTTTCCATAGGACTTACATATTCTAAATAAATATTCAAAAATTTGGTGATTTATTTCAAAAACTCTGCTCTATGGTCACTGAAAATCTAGTTTTTGTGCTCTTTATTTTTGAAAATACCTTATTTCCATAGCCTGTGGTTTTGGGGGCAGTGCTTTTGTTTTATTCAGATTAATTTGAGTTCTTCCAGAAGTGTTGGGAATACAGAATCTGAAATTCAGGTAAGAGATCAGGATCCAGGGAGATGTCATGTTTGGTGCTTTGCCCGCTGCATGACTGGAACTGTGGACATGGGCCTGAGATCGCTGGGGGAATACAGGGAGGAGATAAAAGAATAGAGCAGAGCAGAAGGCTCTAAACTTGCCTGTTAGGTCAGATGTCTTGAGTTACCTAGGATAAATGAGCAGGCATATAGATATTAGTAGGTTTGTTTGCAGAGGTTTTACAGTCTGGATTTTTTAAAGGAGCAGAAAACTGTAATTTTTGTAAATTTTGGAACTTTGCCTTCCTCTAAGCAATAATTTAGGGGGGTTGCTGAAAGAAAAAGGGGGTCTCTAGTGCAAGAGCAGAGGCCTTCTATACCTTCGCCTTCCCTACCCCCACACACAAAGAAGAAAATAGGCCAGTAAGGGAATTCACTGTGTGATTAATAGTGTTGTCTGACATAGTTGAACCTGGCAGAGCTTTTCCTTCATGAATAGCTGCTAAACAGTGGTGATTTGAGGGAATGCACATGTACTTGTGCACACACGCACACAACCTGCCTCGTAGACAATCTCTTATCATGAGTCAAGGGGACTCAAGGATAAGAGGACATTTGCAAAAAACTAAACAGTATCAGGAAAACCTTCCTACAAATCCAGGATGCAACATATTGGCATCTAAAATGTTGTTTATAGTTGTGGTCATTAATCTTGTAGCAGCGTAATGGAACTCAAGTAAGGCCAAAGAAGAGCAAATAATATGATGAAGAGGTGGGAGGGGTTGCTATATGAAGGCAGATTGAAATAATTAGGACTCCTTGGGGTTGAAAAGACTGAGAGGAAATATGATTAGAGTTTAATAAATCTGTGAAGAATATGAGCTAGATGGTTATAGAATTGTTTACCAGAAGTAGGCAGAACCTCTTAAAAAGCAATTTCAAGTGAATTTAGGACAAGAAGAATTTCTTAGCATGCTGAAAAAGTAGATCCTATACAACAAGATCACTCTCAGAACTGGGCTGACTTCCGACACTGAACTGAAGTGAAGGAGACCAGGGACTTTCTTATTTTGGCATGGTTTTTTTGGAGCATCGAGGGCCCAGACAGAGGACCGATCAAGTTTCCTATTAGCCTTTTATTTATTTTTTTCTTTTCTTGGGTGACATTTAAATGTCATTCAACATTTATTCATTGGGGGTAGGTCCTATGCCACATTCTCTGCTAAGCACTGGACATGCTGGGATGAAGGTGGATACATACAGTTCTCACGGTCTAGTGATAGAAAAAAGAAATTGTCTGTTATAATTCACAAATGTGCTGTGAGAACATGACCCGAATTGCTAATATACTTTTAGGATTAGAGCAGGTGGGCCCAAGGGAAGAGCTGCTTAATTTGAGACCTAAAAGCTGATGAAAATTTAGCTAAGTCGGGAGCTAGGGGAAGAGGGAACAGCATATGTTGAATGCCTTTAGGTATAACAGGGTTTTCTTGACTGGTGAGAGGGGTATTAAGAGGAAAAGGATGGATATGAGATCTGTGGAGCATATCATGGAATGCCTTACAGATCGTGGAAGCATTTGGACTCAAGAGTAGTGGAGAACCACTGAAAGGAGTTAAGTAGGTATGACTATATTTTATTTTTATAACCAGTCACAGTAGCTTCCATGTGGAAAATAGTGAGGACATGAATAAAGGGCCTGGAATGAGTGGAGAATATTGGTATTCTACAGGTAATGGTGGCCTGGGCTAGGGAGATGTGGGCAAGTTCCAGTATTATTTCAGAGGTTGTATGGAATGAATTTCTTCACTAACTAGGTATGAGAAGTGGGGGAGAGAAATACTCAAGCTTGATTTATGAGAGGAGGACAGCCAATTAGGCCTCAGATTTTATCTCAGTGTGAAGAATTAGCACAGGCTTTTTACAGGTCTTCTCTCATGATCTCCAGATGACCTAGAAGCCAGTAGTCTGTCTGCCTCTCGGTCCCACCCTCTCTTTTTTGCCTTTTCTCTTGAATTATTCAGTGCTTAAATATTTGCGGCTCTACCATTTGGCACATAGTTGGCCCCTAATAAATGGATGTCAAATAAGTAGAAAGATCAAAAACTGCACAGATGATTTCTAGTCTCCCCAATGCCCTTGCCTTCCACTCCTGTGGGGTGCTGGGGTTCATGCAATGCACATGCCACGTGACCGTTTCCTAATACCCTGAGGTCAGCTGATCTGAAGCAGCACTTAACAAAGGTCAAGATGGCAGTGATATGCACAGGGACTCTACTTAATGATTTTTAAAAGCTTTTTATTTTGAGATATTATCAAAGAGTTGTCAGATAAACACAAGGAATTTTCCAGAGGCTCTTCAGTTAGCCATACCAGCTGTTAACATTCTGCCATGCTTGCTTTATGACACTCCTCATCCTATAGACATGGAGATGGCAGTGCAGATAGAGATTTAGAATTCTTCTTGGCCAGTTAATTGCAGGTACTCTTCACCTCCAGTTACCCGAGTGTATGTTTTTTCAAAGTAATGACATTCCTTACATAACATAGTATAATGATTGACTCCAGCACATTTAACCTTATGCAGCATCTCTGCTGCTCTCATCCACTTGTCGTCCCAATAATTTCATTTATGGCACTTTTTCCAGCCTGATCCAGGAGCTGATCCAGCAAAGCGCTGCATTTCATTATCATGTTGTTTTAGGCTTCTCTAACCTGGAACAGTTGTACAGCCTTTCTTTGATTTTTCAGACATTGAAATTTTAGAGGCAAACAGGCCAGTTGTTAGGCAGAATGCTGCTCACAGTGGCTTGGCTGAAATTCCCTGGTACTTAGATTCAGATTGTGCATTTTGGGCAGGAAGCTGTGTAATGACATCAGGCCCCTTGTGGTGCACCTGTCACAGCAGGAGGAGAGGCATGAAGCCCATATAGACACACCTTGGAGATGTTGTGGGTTGAGTTCCAGTTGACCACAATAAAGCTAGCAGCATAATCAAGTGAGTCACACAACATTTTTGGTCCCCCAGTGTATATAAAAGTTATATTTATACGACACTGTAGTCTATTAAATGTGCAATAACATGTGTCTGAAAAAAATGTACATACCTAATTAAATGTGGCATAGAGACTTAGAGTGAACACCTGCTGTTGGAAGAATGGTACCCACAGACTTGCCTTGTGCAGGCTGCTGTTTTTACCTTTAATTTGTATAACCACAGTATCGCCAGCGTGCAATAAAGTGAAGCCTATTAAAATGAAATTTGCCTGAATGTCTCAGGCCTCTGGATGTTAACTTTGATCACTTGGTTAAGTTGATATCCTCTGGTTTGTCCACCCTAACATGACCTTTATCCTTAATAGTGTACAGGTTGTTGAATGACTTCTTACTGCTTAGCCATTTTAAATGTTACTAAGCATTGCGTCCACAGTCTTATTTTAACAACTCTCATTTTCCCTTTTCTTGGCAGTGTTTTAGAGCACTCTGCTGCAAGGGACCACCTCCTGCACGGCCAGAATATGACTTGGTGTGCATAGGCCTGACCGGCTCTGGCAAGACCAGTCTGTTATCGAAGCTCTGCAGTGAAAGCCCCGACAGCGTCGTCTCGACCACAGGTAGGTGATAGGCCAGAGTCCTGCTCCTTTCGCTTTCTCAAGAGATTCCTTTTTCTCATGCTATTGGAGGACCCTCTGTCTTATTTATGGCTAAATGCTTTAGTCAGTTTATTTCACTTTTGGGTATTCTATTTTGCAAAAAAAGGTTTTTAATAGCTTTGACTGGATGATCCCTGTACCACTCTAGTTGGTCATTTCAATGCCACTAAGTAAGTCAAGCTCAGGAAAAATGAAAACCAATGAAGCATGAACCCTGGACTTCTAGGGCTGTAACTGTCGAATTCACCTTGGCTCCCTGGAATCTCACCCTCCCTTCCATTGTCACTCCAGCCTACTTGTGTCAGTCATGTACTCCCCAGATAGTACACCAAGAGGTGAGTGGGGCAGAAGCCATTGACTACGTTTGCCATACTGTTTCCTGAGATGACCGAAAAATGTTGATGGAGGCAGTATTTCTCAATCCAGAGATTTCACCTCTCAGGAGATTTGGCAACATCTCAAGACATTTTGTTTGTCACAACTGGAGGAAGAGAAGGGTGGCACTGAGATCTGTTGGGTAGAGACCAGGGATACTACTGAACACTCTACAGTGTGCAGGACAGGAATCCCGCCCCTCACCTCCCCCAACCCCCCCTCCGAGAAACTATCTTGCCTCAAATATCACTAGTGCTACTGAGGGGTTTTGTTACTCTGCAAATGTTGCTGCTTTCTCTTCTAACAATGAAGGAGGATGGAAAACGTAAATTAGAAAAAATAATGGAAAAACAGTGGTAGGAGATGAAGACAGCTGCTATGGGAGGAGAGCTGATAAGGAGGAAGTATGAGCTGAGACTTTGTCTGGGCAAGTTGAACAGACTGGTAGTCAGCTCACTGGTTCTGAACACTACAGTGTGCTGTTCTAGTATTAGAACTAGGACTAGCAATGACCATGGCATATGCTAGGAGACTGAGTCTGCTAGCCACATAGTTCATGTCTAGAAATACATGGAGGAGGAGAAGCCATCCATCTGTGTTGCTTGGATAGGGGATGGGAACAGTGCATGGAGGAGTTTTCTACATAGAATCTTAAGATGAATAAGCCTAGCAGCCAAGCAGAAATGAAAATGAAATGGACAAAGAAAGGATTTCTGGGTAGAAGGAAAGCTTGTGTGAAGGCAAGGGACCTGATTGGCACCTTCTGGGGACCACATTTCTGTGTGGCTTTAATGCACAGCTAGTAAAATGTCAGGAGACTAATTGTAAGAATAAGGCAGTGACCCATTCTTGGCAAACTTTTTCTGTCTTGCTCTGGAATTTGACCTTTTCCATTAGGTAGTAGAGATGTTAGAGTATTTAAACATGAAAACTTATGATCAGATATCACAGTAGCCATGATGTAAGGCTGTACTGGGGGATGTACTCTAGCTGTTAACTGAGGTAGTGATGAGAGAGAAAGAAACAGAGAGACAGAGAGGTAATAGATAAGGTACTTCTATAAGTGAGAAAATATGGTGGCCAGTTGGATTTGGAGGGTGAGAAAGAGAAAAAAACACCAAGCGTGACTCAGGCCCTAGCTTTGGTGATAGGTGGATGATGAAATTATTTACTAGCACTTTCAATATATAGGAAAAATATTGATGACCATATTATATCAGTTCAGTTCAGATTTTGCCACCAAGTAAGCTAGGGAAAAAGTTCAAGTTTTGAGAGCTTTTCAGATTTTAGAATTATAGAGATGAAAATGGATCTGTAAAGAGACAGAGACAACTTGATTCTAGGATAAGGAAAAGAGGGAGGCTTCATGGTGACTGGTAGGCCCTCAGAGGCCCCCTTGTGCAACCATTCCTTAATACCATCCTTTGCTCCAGACAGAGGGAGCACTCCTGTGTCACCATTGCATGTTGTCTGTTTCTGCCATTTACTGCTTGCTGTTTACATGTCTATCTCCTCAGCCAGGGATGAAATGCCTGTGGGCAGATAGAACAGTTTACTTGGCTGTATGCAGCCAGAGCCTGGCACTGTAGCTAAGCTTAGACAGAACTAAAGAGGCTTGTTGAGTGAATTAGCAGACAATAGTAAATTGAATCCATATGTTTTTAATAAAGTTCCATACCTCCATGGACCTCATATATGGTAAATAAGAGTCTTTTTCCATGTTCTTTTAATCACCTGAAGCACAAAGTTTTGTTGACATGGCCATTGTCATATAGGTAGTGACAAGTAGGAGGCCAGTTTAGGTCTTTAAATGAACTTTAATGGTACATAAGGCTTAGGATTTCTTTCATTCATTCTTAATAATTTATTCATTTATATATACTTTGCATCATTATTATTATTATTATTTTTTTTACATTTTTTGCTTTCTCTCAGATATAGTCCCCATAGAATTCCCACCATCAGTTCACCCACGTATCATCACCATAGTCCTTCATGGTGCTTACTGCCCTCATTCCGATCTCTCTCCCTCCATCTCTCCTGCAGAACTCCGATTCATAGTTGTCTGATTATTTTTGTTTTGTTGTGTTGTGTTCTTTTTATTGTTACTATTTTTGCCTTATTCGGTTCCCTTATATTCCTCCTATAAGTGAAGCCATCTGATATTTTTCTTTTTCCTTCTGACTTATTTTACTGAGCATAATCCCTTCTAGCTACATCCCTGTTGCTGACAATGGCATGTGTTTATCTTTTTTTGATTGCTAAATAGTATTTCATTGTGTGTGTGTGTAATATATATACATATGTAAAATATGTGTGTTTGTGTGTAGTGTATGTGCATGTGCATATATATGTATATATATATGTGCGTGTGTGTATGTGTGTGTGTATGTATCACATCTTCTTGATCCAGTCATTTATTTTGGGGCATTTGGGTTGTTTCCAAGTCTTACCTATTGTAAATAGTGTTGTGATAAACATGGAGGGTACAGGTATACTTTTGAATTAATGTTTTTGTGTCCTTTATGTAAATACCTAGGAATGCTAGGTCATATGGTAGCTCCACTTTTAGTAGTCTGAGACCTCCAGACAACTTTCCATAGTGGTTGTACCAGTTTGCACTGGCAGTATAGGAGAGTTTCTTTTTCTCCACGTACTTGCTAAATTTATTGTTGCTAAATTTTTTGATATGTGCCATTCTCACTGGTTTAAGGTGTTTACTCATTGTGGTTTTGATTTGCATTTCCCTGATTATAAGTGATGTTGAACATTTTTTCATCTACCTGCTGGCCATTTGCTACCTGATTTTCTGATGAATTAGATATTAAATTAAATATCATATTTTGTATGTCAAGTTCTTTGACTTGCCATGCTGAACCAGGCACAGTGCCTGTTTGGAGGTCTCTGCCACCAAGAATGATACCTTAGGAAGATAGGTTTTTCTAATGATAAAGTTTGCATTTATTCAATGTTTACTATATGTCAGGTGCTAAAAGAGAATGTTATATGTGGTATACTTGATGGTATAAATATGGGCATTAAAAGTAGTGATTGTCCTATCTGGGAGACTGAAAAAGGCTTTAAGAACATTACACTTGAATAGGGCCTCATGTGATGGTTAAGAGATAAGTTGAGAAGAATAGAGTGAGTAAAGACAAAAAGCATGGAAAGCATTCAGAGAAACATTGGTTGTTCTATTAGGTCAAATCTCAGGACACAGTGTTATCAGGTGCAGTGTAACCTGAGGTAACTAGAAAAGCTTTCAAGAGAGATCTGGAATATGGAGAAGTGTCTCAGCAGAGCCTATAAGGTGAGAATATAGAGTTAGATGTAGATGTGACAGATAATGAATAATAGACAGGAAAGAAAATGAAAATAATCCAGGATGATTATTTATGGCCTGGTGATTGAGTGAATTATAAAAAGTAGAGAAAACATGACAGACAGTTTTAAGATAAGAGATAATGAGCTTGGTTTTAGACATGTTAATTTTGAGGTGTTGGCAGAACTTCCAACAGTGATCCAGATGCCAAAAAGACAAGCATTTGTAGAATTGGGAAATAGAGATATATGGTTAGGAGACAACTGAATTGTTGGATTTGGATGGGATTGTTTAATTGTTGAATTGGATGGGTAGATTGAGGGAACACAAGCTTTAAGCACCAACTATTTTATTCATTCTTTCCAGATTTATTGCTTTTAATGAGACTGCGACTGATTTAGGAACTGAGGATGCACCAGTTAATAAACCAAACAAAATTTCCTGCCCTTTGGAGCTTACATTTAGCATTTGACAAGGAAATTTAAGTCAGGAAATCAAATATGAGCACTAGGTCAAAGAACCAGAGTTAAATAACACAAACATAAGTCTATAGTGTGAGAAGGGACCATTGGCTGTGATGACACTGTTATTAATGATCCAAGGTGGGACAGGTGACTAGAGTGTTAGGGTAGAAATGAGAGGATAGTGAACAGGCAGAGGGAATGAGGTATAGACTATTCATTTTACTCCTTAGGTAAGATTGCACATAAGCTACTTTTTCAGAAAGGCAGAGAGAAATAGACCAAGCAGTAATAAGGGAATAGGAGCATCTTAGTGGGCAGAGATGTGAGGATGGTGATCAGGGAAGGAGGAAAGCCTGAGGATACTCCAGAGAGGTGGAAAGTGCAGGAATGGATGAAGCTTCTCCATTCTTGAAATACCATAATAGTTTATGCTCCCACCTGAAACAACAACAGACTCAAGAAAATGTGTGTGAACCAGATTGTAAGAAAGTGAAATCCCTGAAAGAGAGATGAGAAACAAATGAGGTGAGCCTACAATTGCCCCCCAGCCCATTGCCATGTGTGAGTTTCCAGGCCATGAACTGTTCAGAGGGAACTGAGGATCTGAGGTTGGACTTAGTATACTTTCAGCAATGATGGAGCTTAGTGTCAAAGCAAATAAGGCAGGTAGCATCAAACAACCTCATACCAGAGAGGAGAGATTGATACAGTGAGGAAAAACTCCAGCATTCTGCAGAGAACATTGCCTTTTGTGTCTAGGAAAGTACTCAGTGCCTTCACTGAGGAAACTACCCAAGGCT